AAGGGCAAGAGAACCAACACCTGCTGAATGACTGTAGTGTTGGTTTTATGCCAGGCTCTTCATAAATACATTCTTTCTCTTTTGATGTTCTTTTAGTCCCCAGTAACATTGGCAAAAACACACAGTATAATCAAAATACATGGTTATTAAATAAATGAAAAAAGGTGGTGCCCTTCTCTTTCTTTTACCCCCTCCCCCCATTTTGTTCTCTGTTTACCCTTTGTCCTTGAAAGTCAACCATATAAACTGTGCATTTTCCTAGCTTTTTTTGTCTGACAATGAATAGGAACTTTCAAGAGTTAGTCTAGGGTAAAGTCTCTTCAATCTATAAATTGATGTTACCACTTCCCTTCTCTCTTCCACTGATGAATGATCAATGAGTCATGTAGTCTCTGGTGAGATTTTAGGGGCTGAGAGCCAGGCCTCTGTTAGCAAGGCTGTATTTTGAGATTTTCTTTGTTCATAGTTGGTGCTCCTCTATCCCCCAAAAATAAAAATCTGTATTTCTGTTATGTGTTACTGAGGGTGAGGGGAATACAATAATTTTTAAATGACTTAATGCATGTAAAGTTTGTTTGGGCACAGAACTCCTTCATGCTTTGTTTTCGTAATACTGACCTGTCACTGATGGAAAGAGAAACCTCAGAGAGCACATGATTTCAGGAGGGGCTTTCAGGAACTACTTTAAATTCTTACCCCTGACACTTAGAGGGAGGTGTTCATTTGTACCTGGACTCCTCCATCTGTGCTCTCTAAGCTCCCTTGATGGGCTGAGTCACTTTCCATAAGATACAGGTACAGCCCAAACACAGAACCAGGAAGTGGGCTACCAGATTATGTGGTCATAATATTCTTTTTCAGAAATGTTGGCATTCATTCCAAGAAAGAAGCTTTGAATTTTAGAATCAATTAGGCATTTTCATATTGTTCTGATCTTTTAAGTTTCCTGAAATAAAGAAATCCTTAGCCCCGCTCCATATATCCCTGGCCCATGTGCCTATCTGGAACACCAGAGAGCCATCTTTGCCATTGTCCCTAAGAATGTCCCAATCACAGGATGTGTGGAACCTGAAAATGTCATCCAGTACCTGAATGTCCAGGTTCTTGCACTTCCTGGTCATTAATTGATGGTCTTTGGTGAACAGATGTATGTTATCATTCAAAATTTCACATCCATATTCTATATAAATTCTATGATAATTCTGTTTCAATCATTTTACAAGGATGTTCATTATAGCCTTGTTTATAAATGTAAAAATTTGGAAACAATTAAAATTTCCGTCAATGTGGAAGTGACTAAATAACTTTGGCACATCCAAACTATAAAATGCAATACACCAATACAAATAAATGGGAAATATTTATGTGAACTCACTTGGAAAGATGTATTTGATATATTGCTAAGTGAATAAAGCAAGCTGCCGAACAGTAGTGTATTATCCCATTTAGGTTAAAAAGTATATATCATACATGCTCTAAAACTATATTTTTATGTGC